ATATCATTGGCAGCTAGGGGTGTTAACAACTCCTCTAGAGCAGTTTTATTTCACTCTTCAGGATGATCTTGCACGACACTTTCACTCCATTTATATGCTCGTTTATTTTCATTGCCGCTCATTTATAACACCCCTCGTTGTTTTTCATTTATTGAAACCAAGCATCTTCTCTGCAAACGACAGGACGTACACATACTCGACAGATGTGTGACAGGGATGGGTTTTTATAAACTTTGGTGACCACCAGGTGCCGCTAGCTCTCCACTTCTTTGAAAACTTAAATTTCGCCGGGTAAAACGTACACGACGAAGCGGCAATGGCACGATGTGTTGCTGTTTGATTTAATACTTTGCCGGAAAATATAAAAAAATAGCAACGAATACAATGCCATACGCACCCGCTGGAAATGGGGTTTGAGGGCAGAGTGGCGTATAAGGGGGATAGAGATAGAAGTGGTGGCGGGTTACTCATTTATGGATAGGGCTAATAATAGTGCCTAGTTAGGGATATGGTTAGTACCACTGGAGCTGCTTTTAGATAGTTGGTCAGAGCCAAGGGTATTGCTTGCATATTGGGATAAGGTGGTCCCCACTGCCAAACTCCTTGCATCCTCCCCTTTATTATAACCCATTTATGCGGAGGGAGCTGGTAGGAACGTTGGGTTGCTCGGTCAATGGCCAGGGTCAACGGCGGCGTGGTGTATTCCGCAAATATGCCCGACTGTGAGGGCGGGCACAAGCCGGCGTGAGTAGGTTAAACGTTGAGTTTTATAAGGGCACCACGGGGTGACCAGCCCCTCCCCACCCAGCCCCACCCCTCCCACCCCCACCCAGCCCCTCCACACCCTCCCCACCCAGCCCCTCCCCACCCAGCCCCTCCCCAACCAGCCACTCCCTACACGACAGACACAATAATCCCCTGTGGGCTGGTGTAACCAGGAGGTTCCTACCAGTAACAATCCCATGTTCAATTGTTGGCAGTTACATTTCTGGCGTTTCCAAAATCTAACAGACGGGGGCAGTAAGACACTTCACATATCTCACCTAAGACAGCAAAGACCCGGACCACCGAGTTTCAACATGAGAGGCATATAAAACACCTTCTAGGCCAATTTCTGCTCAGCTAAATGGCTCACATAGCCACAGTGCACCTCCCTGTGCTAAGTATGAGGTCCAATGTGTTATTCAGTACCACAAATGCAATACATCTTTTTTTATGTCGCCTACGTTCTCACACTGACAGTGAAGTCCAATCTGAATACCTGATCGCTTTATGATTATTATTATTGGTGTGTAGCATACAAAGGACAATTAAGCGTATTAGTGTAAACCGCATAGAGAATCAAGACTTCAGCTACAGCTCGTTGCCAGATGATCATCCAGCAATTAACTGATAGTGATTTTCACTGGGCAACGGCCTCCATCACGAAAATCTATTCTGTTCCGAATATATGATCTCTGTACGCTACTGCCCCATTGTATTATGCTATGTTATATATACGATATATACAGTTTAAACACACAGTTTTGCTGGCTAGATTCATGGTAGGGACGTCGCCGCGCACATCTGCGTGACAAGGTCGCCCACATCCCACAGCGTTGAACCCGGTTCAAAAGACAAAGATCCCCCGTGTAGCCTTAACAGACTATTGGGGCAAGTGCTGTTAGCGAGCACCTATGAAGGCTGGCACGGCACACGAAGGGGTGGGTGGCTTGCACCACGCCCGGCCGCCTTTGTCTCCCTAGTGGCGATGTTTAGATACCGCACCAGGTACCCATTTGAGGCTTAGTCGACCAACAGGAGGCTCAGGACCGGTTCAGAGAATCGTCACCGGTGTTGGTGGTGACAATCGTCGCCGATTTCGTAGCGCAACGCGCTAACCGTACATTCGTACAAACGCGCAGAATACACTGGCATTGTACTATATGTGCTGGAAAACAGTTTTGCTCGCTGGCTGGCTGGATGGCAGGATGGTCACGTTCAAAGGACCTGCAGGCTGCTAGTATTATTGAAATTCATTTTGTTTTGTGATGGTGACAATTTCACTGCTATTGGCTTTCTCAAAAATTGCTGTTGACATCAGCCCTGGGGTGTGCTGTAGGTATCATCTACCCACGGCTCCTGCAGGGAGGCGAATATCGCATTCCGTGTCTGCAGCACCAGTAACTCAAGCGCAGAGGCTATTGGCTTTTCCGTAATGTTAGACTCACTTGCAAGCTAAAAATTTCCCAAACGTGCCCTCCAGATATTTCAGGTTATTTATCCACACACACACTGCACTCTTCCAATATTGCACAAGCATCAACCCGTGGTCCCATTGAAATTGTGTCATCATTCTGCCATTATGAGAAGAAGGAAAAAAAACCTAAATAAAACAATACAATTGCATCTGTGGAATGTAGAACAGGTGTTTTGTATTCCCCAACGGCACGGAGATCCCAACGGATTCTCCGATGTCAGGGCTTTGTCCCAGCTCGGATGCTTGCCGTTCTTTCCATGCTTATCAAGTGCAAAGCAAAACAGCCTCAAAGTAGACGTAAAGCAATATGCCGGCATTAAACGCGCCGGACGAGGCACTTTGAAACACTGAGCATGATACAGTGGGTAGGCAAATACCATTAAAAGTACCATGGAGTAATTTCAAATGTGCCGTCCCAGAGACGTTTCTAGGCCTTGGCATCAAATTGGACAAGGGTGGCCTTGGCATGGTATCTTTGAGAGCAAAGGCTGCTCCCCGTGGAGATTCGTTAGGCGGTGTGTTAATACATCTGGAACAGGTGGCAGGAACCGCACAAGCGAAAGGCGAGCGTGGCCAAAAGGATGAGCAAGCAACTCGTGGGTTTTTAACATACACATACATCTTCTTGGTTCTTTCGGTAAAGTCACGTAGAAGGGAAATAATAAAATGATAAAAATAAAACATAATAAAATAATTAAATTGTATTCTTTTATTATTTCCCTTCTACGTGACTTTACCGAAAGAACCAAGAAGATGAATCCCTGCAGTCACGAAAACTTTAAATCGAAATACACATACATGTTTTTATAACGATTGCTGACCACACGCCAAAGGCCCAAAATGCCAGCAACAAACTGCACTATTGAATGTATAATTGATGAGCATTAATATATTTATTCGAACTGACTTCATACCAATGCTGAAACCGGTGTTGTCCTGTTGCTAAGATCTTGTCGAAATTTTGACTCTTTGAGTTGGTCATTTAAAATAAGGCTGTGTGTATTGTACACACAGTATGATTGTCACGTGACACGCAATACATCATGGGAGGTCTAATCAGATAGTTAGGATCATGCCTTTAGCTGTCTATAAATCATCTTTTGCATGTACAACATTATTATTTATATAGATCTATCGTTTATCTTAACAATTCACTACTTCATGAGTGTTGTGATATTTTATGGTTATTAACGCGAGTGTCATTAATATTTTTTGCAAATGTTTTTGTAAACAGTGCATCATACCATCTTATGGAATAGCCTGTAGAAGTAATTATCACAGGACTACTTAATATATTCAAATTACTTCTTATCTACCATACTGTTTGTTGCAGGACAGTCAAGGCAATGTTTATTTGTCAGAGCTGGAAAATGTACCGAATTAAGTGCAAAACCAGATTTAATATGGTCAGGTTTTTTTGAGGAGTCATTGGTGACCGGTGGAGACCATCAACTTTAGCACCTTGTTTAGTCACAGCGGGCCAAATTCGAAAACAGGATCACAGTAGTGTCAGTTCAACACTCTTACCTGAGTGACCCAACCACCTCAAGAATTAAAAACATATTTAAAATATAGGCAATATACGATATTCACAATTATACTGTATTGCAGTATTATTTAAAATTGTAATGTTGGTTGCCAATATTTAATGTTTACATCTAACCATTATAAACCGTTACTTTTCACGCGAAATAGAACATTCTTAGCGAGGTCTTAAGTTCTTAAATATCAAGGCTTCGTGTTGATTTCGATAAACAATATTTTCTCAAATTTTCCTGAAGGGTTTTTGGTATTCATGCAACAATGAACACTTTAAGATGCCCAACAAATTGCTCCTGGGTTTTAATAACCCTGAATTGTGGGAAATTATGTAAGAAATGTAAGACAATGCTACGACGCAGTGGGAAGCTTACAGCTTTAACCGTGTCGGCTTTATGAGGTTGACTGAACCATTGCCCCTGATGTCTTGCGGCAAGTACTGTAAGTTGCTAGCAGTGCATTTGCATTGCATCCCGTCACCATGGCCGGGTCATCTCTGTCGTGAAAACAGAGGCAGCAGTTGTTGTGGACAGGGTGACAGGAACGCTAAATATAGGGGCCCATGCTTGTACGTGCAGACTCCGTTTCACTCGGTAAATCCCGTGACATCAAGGTATAGGTGGCGGTTAAAGCAGAACCACTCAATTTCCCTTTTGTGCTGTGAACCCTCCTTTAATTTTTTAAAACATACCGTATACTTCCCCGCCCTGCGTGTTACACCCAGCAGTATAAATTAGTAACACCAATCGGCAGGCAGGTCGTGTGCGGTGTGATCAAGTGTGGGTCACTCCCACCTCTTTTACAAACCTGCAGCCAGGGTGGAAGCATAGGCCAAATACAAGCACTAGAGAGGCTCTCTCGAGCTTCCTCTCGAGGAGTATATTCTGTCAGCAATGGTAAGAACAAGAAATTGCAGGGCTTCACCTTTATAATTTTACATCTATCCTTTTTTTGCCGAAGTGAATACAATATGTCATAGATTTAAAAATCGCAAAGCAACCCTGCACCATGCTTTGCATGTTGCTTTCACATTGCCATTAATTTTCTAGCCAAGGCTGAAAACAGAAAAATCGTTCATTATCCAGTGCTCGGAGGAACAGGAAGCAATCAGTTAATGGAGTAGCAGCCATGAGTAAGGTGTAGGGAAGTGAATTCATGACTTAAAAAGGCACTCTGGCAAGGACATGCAATGAAAATAAGGTCTCTCCCTGGGTGAGCCAATTTAATTTATTCGGGCCTCTTCATGGGCCCCGGGACACTCACTCTCCCTTAGCATACAAAGCGTAAACATACACGCCGGGGAGAGTGGAGCATGCATTCTACAAGTGCACATTTTACACTCATTGTACAGTATTCATTCCAGTACAGGACTTGAGAAATATGCGATATGTCGGCAATGCTTAGTTGAATTTGCTCATTTAGACACTAGCAGTCAAGGAAAGACGCGTACAATTGCTGAAATATTATCACAGCCTATGAAAAATGAAATTCGTCAAAATTTTGCACGATGAAATCTGTTACACATTCGGATACCTTGAGACAATGAGAAAGTGGTCTAGGCCATACATGATGCACTGTTATTAACAAAATCCGGTATAAACAAAATCTTTCCAAATAATAGTAACATGAAAAAAGTCAAATAATTATAATAAATACAACCGTGATGCAATTAAGACTACTATTGATGAAAATGTACTTTAAAAAATGAGGTAAATAGAACAAGTGTAACATCAACAGAGAAGTATCATTAAAATAGTGTTTATAAAAAATCAATTCATAATACTGTACCATGTTGTCAAGAACCCATTTTGGTCTTTACAAATAGCAGCAAAGTATTATTCAAAGCACCTTAAATAACTTAAAAGAAACAGTTTACGATAACATACGTTGTACCATAATGTAATTCATAAGCATAATTCATAGGCACGATGCAATTCCTAATATCTAGTAGCTAAGCAGCAATGAAACAATAACTTGGACAGGTTCCATATGGCCAGGGTGGAAGACAAAGGTTTTTTTTTCTCCCAACGGTGGTGTGAGTAAAATATGTCAGGCACATCTTTAACTTTTGCATGAGGCCGATGAGTGTCTCTAGCAGTTCACCACAGCTGTCCAAATAAGTCAGGTTCCACCAAATTGTTCTTGTACCATAAATGGATTGGATATGTTGCTATATTGCGTATGAATGTTTCACAGCTCGATAAAATGTGAGGTATATTATCGTCTCAGATTTACCTTCGTATTCACGATAAATCCTCCAGGAGTTCTCAATGGCATTCTGTTTGACAGCTTAAAAATATCTGTCCAGAGGTTAGTTTCAGCCATGTCTGGCTAGGTCTGTAACCCTGAAAATGTTTCTACACCCGGCACACCACATCCAGTAAAACATCTTGCTATGGCTGTTGCTACTAGTCACATGCCACCTCCAGTCTACCAGTGACCCAGACAATATTTAGTGAGAAATTAAGTTATGTCTATGTCCGTAATATAAGGCTTGCTTGTTCTTCGTAATCCCGTCATCTTCAGCCCAGTGTGACGATTTCAGATCAAGAGAAGAAGCGACAGGCAGTGGAGTCAATCCTGCAGAAGATGGTGCACCTCAGCTGTCCATATGAGCTGCAAAGTAACAACACGGAAGTCAACACCACACTTGTAATTATGTTGAACGTTCAACTTATAAATTATTCAAGTGGTTGGCATCTATATTGTATTAACACGGTGCAAGAAATGCAAAGGAATAATTTAAACTGCACACAAATGTTGATCTTCTTGGTTCTTTCGGTAAAGTCACGTAGAAGGAAAATAATAAAAATAAAACATAATAAAATAATGCTCACGACGTTTCGGCCACAACGCAAGCAACCTGAAGACGGCTGCTTGCGTTGTGGCCGAAACGTCGTGAGAATTATTTTATTATTGTTTTATTTTATTATTTTATTATTTTCCTTCTACGTGACTTTACCAAAAGAACCAAGAAGATGAATCCCTGCAGTCACGAAAGCTTTAAATCGAAACAAATGTTTGTATTAAACAATATCATATCTCTATATATATAATGATATATATATATTAACACCAGTGGAGAGTGCTATCTGAACCAGTCCTGGGTCCACCCTTCCCCAACCTGCACTGTTTAGTGTAAAGAGGGATGATCAAACAACCTCCACGACCAGCACCGCTTAAGGAGACCAACATCCAGTGGTGAATTGATAATGGGCTGTGAATTATTATAATTTATTAAAGGTGCCATGCAGAGTGGTCATCGAACATTTTCACGTAGGAATCCACATCCCCGTTATCAGAGATAGGCTCTGCTCATCACCCCTCGGGTCTATAAAATAGGTACCAATGTAGGAAGTCAACAGTGGCTGTCCTGTGAAGAGACTGAAACCCACTATGTGAATGTGGAATTTGCACCACTGGCTTAGGACTGCCAATGCAACTGATTACCCCCCCCCCCCCCAGCAACACTCATTTGAGCAGGAACGTGCTGGCTCCGGCTTAGTAATTATCGAATGGTGGCAAAACGAGACGTATTTTGGGCAGTGTTGCCAGATGGCTGTGCTCACCCGGGCAAGTATGTGGCACAAGTTTGCTGGCCAAGATCGACACTGTCACACTCCTCCAGCCCGTCCCACCGGTGGCCGTCACCGCAGAACGCGCGCTTGCAGTCTACGTAGGGAACATGAGGCAACAGCATGCTGATGTTGGTCGAAGCAGTGCAGTCTTACAAGAGTGAGCTGCAAGCGATAATTGTGGGTGTTGTAGAACTGGGATTGGCTCCAGAATATTCACACAGTTGGCTTGCAAATAATGACGCACCGATTAAAATCGATTATTATTATTTTTTGTGGGTGGAAGCGGATGGTTAGTGCACTGTGCTATGAACCTGGTGAGCAGAGTTCGATTACCGGCCACGGCCAACATCCGTGGCGAATTATATCTGAACTGGGTCTGGGCCCCCCCACTTCACTGACCCACACTGGCCAACGTGGTGAAATATACTCTTTGTTCTTTCGGTAAAGTCACGTAGGTAAAAAATTAAATTAAAATTAATAAAAAATAAAAACAATAAAATCACGACGTTTCGGACTGACACACCATGGATAATCTTCATCCTCAAGATGGTATTTCGAGATGTACTGCATGGGAGGCATGATATATATAAAATAAACGATGAAGATGATGATCCACCCGACTGACAAATTGCCTTGTGTTCATCCAAGGCTTTACTTTTTATTTTGTGTGTAATCAATATAAACCCTGCAGCAACACCAGAGGCAAATGTATTCACCACAATGTCAAAAATGATCGATTCTTGAATTGAATCGTGTATTCGAACTGTGGAAATTCCTCAAATTGCAAGGGGTCAGGATAATTGTTCCATGTTTAGCGCACAGGTACATTGTTGTAAGCTTCACAGGTTGGGGTGGTAGGAATGTCGAAATTCTGATCGAAGAGTTTAGGCTGTGAACGTGGGCTTAGTATGCAGGTGGGGGACCTACAAGCCATGGGATAAACACATGTGGCATGCCACTGCGAAACAGCCCCGCTAACAATATTTATCCATCACTTAAAGCACTAATTGGCTACTAGGGGGGAATTTTTTTTTACCTGGAACAGCATGTTTCTAATTTCAACATGCCCAGTCACTTTTGTCACAGTATGGGTCTTTTACATTGACATAAGTGGTCGAGGTGTGTGTGTGCTAATGTGTGGTTACTGCCCAAAGATATATAAAAGTCCTCTTTGGCCCTCAGTAAGGAAAATATTCCTCACCCCTGGCTTAGCAAGATGCAAGGGACTCACCCACGCAGGCGTCAGAGCCGACCTCATTGCCGTCGTCACACTCTTCTCCGTTCACCTCCTGTACGGTTCCGTCTCCGCAGAACCCTGTGAGGTGGGGAGGGGCGAGCTGACGGGACGGTGGAGGGACGGTGATGGCAGGGGGTGAAGGGAATATACGCAACAGCTGGCATTCATGGCTTACAAATGAGTGATTTCACTAATAAGCGAAGTTGTACTATTTGCAGACGTCTATCAAGTCGTAAAAACAAACAGCTCATTTTTATATTAAAATATGCAGTTTGTCTTCAATGCGAGATGATTGGATGGCTTGGGGTGGTCTAATGCCTGTGGTTGGCAGTCCTGAGCCAGAATTTCCATGAGAATGAGATCCAAGACCTCCGTTGGAGAATAAATCAACGTCGTCTTCCGCAGTCTAAAGCATTTCGCATGTGCAGCGAGTTTGATGACCTCAGCATGACCACCGAATGTTGAATATAAACAAACATGGCCACGAACACGATTGTTTTTACAATGCTTGACAAAATGTTGCATGACGCAGTGAGCAGTCATAGATCAAAGCCAATGGATAAACCTAAATAATTATGTAATTTATCCAGCAAAGGGTCGTCATTCATATGTGTGCAATTGCATTATTTACAAGATGTCTAGAACATTTTTTTCCCTTCTTAGAAATCAAATGTATGTATTTTTCAGACACATTGAAAATGATATGAATATTTCCTCACGTAAAGATATGTATTTGAATGATTGAGGAGCAGTGGCAGAGTGGTTTGCGCACTGTGCACTGAATCCGAGTTTTATTCTCGGAAACAGTTCACATCAGTGAAGGGTAATATCCGAACTGGTCCTGGTCACCTTGCCCCCACCCCTTCACTGAATGTCACTGCATGGTGAAGTATGGTCAAATAACCCCCTTTGCTCGCAAAGCATAAGAAGGCCTCACCCAGAAGTGCCTTCACATGAAATCTGCACAGCTATGCTTGAATGATGCCTGACATTTTCAAAACAAAAATGTGACAAAACGGCAAAATGCACACAGTTGCATCGGAATCACCACATGCAACACCATATTGAAACACTGGGTTATACTGAGTGGACACATGCAGAGATCAGAGGTCGCAAACGGGTTTTGATTCCTTACCCGTACCCGGCCGCACCAGGGTTGCAAATGGGTACCCGTACCTGGCCGGGTATGGGTACCCGTACGCTACCCGGACCCTACCCGAAATGAGTGACAAACGGTTACTCACCAGTGACTCACGGCCTACCCGTACCCGGCCGCACCAGGGTCGCAAACGGGTACCCGTACCCGTACCTGGCCGGGTACAGGTAGCCGGGTATCGGGTAGGGTACGGGTATCGGGTACCCGGTTGCGACCTCTGGCAGAGATAACGAGGCACTCGAGGCTTTGGCCGCACGGCTCAGGGAGGGACTGACGAGGGGTGCACCTGGATGGGAACCCAGCCCGTGGGCTCCTTGAAGAACAGCGAGCGCACGTCTCGGCAGAAGGCGATGGTGTTGGGCAAGCTCAGCAGCTCCAGGTCCTGCTGGCTGCTCACCACATAGATCTGCAGCCACAACAGAGGGACGCTCAGCTGCACTGTGTGCGTATGCTCAGGGCAATCGGAACAAAGGGACTTGGATCCAGCAGCTGGGTGAGCTACACGACATTTTAAGGCAAGCTCATTGCATGCAGTTGTCCACGAAGCTTCAGACAGCTGTAACATGGGGTGAATGTCACACAACATTTTTTAGTGTTCCTGGAAGACTGGAGTAGGCACGCGACTCGGAGTAGCCACAACCGTAGCAAGAGGAATATTTGATGTGGTGCACCAGGTGCGGAAATATTTTCCGTATCACCAACCTGGACAGACCTGGCTGAAATCGTTTGGTACACATCGACCTCTTCGACCCTTCGGTATCCTAAAGTGTCTACTAACTAGTTCATGAAGCTTGTCTTCGCGAGGCAAACGTTTTAATAAACATAATAATTAATCTTATATTATTTATTACAACTTTTATCTACGATCAGACACTAACAACTACTCCAAAAATGTGTATTTTACCGCATAAAAACACACAAAAATTGTTGACGACTTGATTCAACTTGTTATATTTAAAGACGTAACTATCGGAAACCACTCAATTGAAATATTCTATTCTTTATTTATGAGAAAAAACAAAAAATAATTATTTTAATACTCTATGAGGGGAAGTGCCTACCTTTTCCCGTTTTCAAATTATTCAGATTTGAACTTCATTGGTTCAAATCTGCTTGAATCCGAAATATCTGAAAAACTATAATGATAGAACCAATAAAAATAACAGAAAACTATGGAGTTTCGATCGCAACTCAAGCGGTCGTCTTCAGGAAAAGGATAGAACCAATGGTTCTCGCTTTAATTAGATTTTCTGTTTTTAGGGTCTATCAAAAGAAAAACACGCAATCTTATATTTTTAACGGTTTCTGAATGAGATGCACAAACATGTTTATGGGGCACTTAAAATCGAGATTTGTGGGCCTTGAAATGAAAAATCTCAGATTTTCTGATTTGTCATGTTGTTTGTGTCTTAAAAGCTACCTATTTACCAAATTTCTGCTTTCTACCTTGTCGGGAAGTACCCTAGAGGTTTTTGAGACATCCAGATTAAGGTCTTTATTAATATAGAAGATGTTATCTTTAGGCCTAACGGAGTGAACACAACTCTTCTAACGAGACTGCAAAAATTGAACAAAAAAGAACTGATTCTTGAATCGCATCATGACCGTGAATCATAACATTTCAACGACTCATGAAGGTAGTGGGCGGGATGATTACATTTCGAACAAAGGGAATTTCTGATAATTAGTCCACCCCATGTGAGACTAGGCTCTAAGGAAAGCTGTCTCGGGTGTGGACCAATCAACTTCAAGGACAGTGCACATTATCCGAGTTATGTTTTTTGTTTGCATTATGACTGCAGGCATTGTGGTTTATGTAAACATGACTCCTTGTAAAAAAAGGTGTCAGTTTTGTTGCCAGAGAGAAGGGTCAAAAACCAATTATCATATTTTTTACTGGAAAATGAGGTTCCAATGGTAGATCTAAGAAACTAAGTTCGGTTGAGCCTGGATACTATTGTGGTGGGTGCCCACCATGCATGAAAGCTGTTATAGGCTATACGATAAACTTTAGACAGCAGAGGGCATTGCATGCAAATTTTAGTATTGTAATTATATTCTCCCACATCTATACCACCTATCTTCAACGTCCATTACTGCCCAGTGTGGTGAAGTATGGTAAAACAATCCGTACGACTCGCACAGCATGCAGAGGCCCTCATCCAGCAGTGGATTGATGAAGGGCTGTAAATGTGCACATACAAACATTCATAGTCGTGACTGTTATTGTAAGCAGCCTGTGCATGCTACGGGTCTGTCCTTGAGGATTTCTTTAGTCTGTCTGCGGCTCGCACGGAGCGCACGTCTGCGGCTTGGAGATCGCTGTGCAGGGTCGTGGTTTAACAGCTGATTGCTCGGTGGGGGTCGCGAGAAGATGCCACTCACGGCCTGCACGGCGGGGTACGGCACGCCGGCTGCGCGTGTCTGCAGGGAGTTGCCTTGGCTGGGACACGAGCACCTCCCTGGGGGGCCCGGTACTCCCGGAAAACCGCGCTCGCCCTTGGCCGTCTGAATCGTCTGATCTGAAAAAAAAAACACATATATATGTACTCTTTGGTTCTTTCGGTAAAGTCACGTAGAAATAAATAAAATAAATTATGGAATACACGACGTTTCGATTGCAACACAAGCAACCGTCATCAGGTTTGAAATAATATGCATGCTCGGAGAGAGACACATACAGAGAGAGACAAAACACAGACACGGAGAGAGACACACAGAGAGAGAGACAGAACAACACCTCTGTGATGACGAATTATATAGAGGGGGGTGGTGGGGCAGAGAAAATAAACGGAAATAGCAGGGGGAGAGAAATTGGAAGTTTGAGAAAACAAACCTAGTACACTTAGAAATGTAATGCAATGCAACACAGAGAGTCGGCTAACACAACAGTTAACACATTACCTGGTTGATTACGTTCTTCCAAAGATTGCTAAATTTGAAGTTAAGTCTGAGAAATTGGAAGTTTTTTTTCATAAATATGTACATATTCATAGTCATAAGAATATACACGTTTAAGTTGTACACAGGTTTTATTCAACGCGGGCAGGCCATTTGTAAATTCACCGCTGGATGAGGGCCTCTCAATGCCATGTCAGTCATGGGGGTTATTTAACCATAATTCACCACGTTGAACAGCACTGGTTGTTAAGTAACTGCCAATTGTTTGCGAAAATGGGCTACAAAACGTGGTCGTTTGTGTATGATTCCCAGACACAGCTTGTAGCAGTGGCGAGTGATGTCTGAACCAGTCCTATGCCACCCTCCCTCTTCACCAACCTGTATTGACCAGAATGGTGAAGTATGGACAAACTAACACAATGACCAACACAGTACGGGAAGACATTTATGCAGCACAGGATTGACGCTGCGCTATAAATTACTACTATAATTGTTGATTTAAAGCTTTCGTGACTGCAGGGATTCATCTTCTTGGTTCTTTCGGTAAAGTCACGTAGAAGGGAAATAATAAAATAATAAAAATTTAACATTATAAAATACAATTCTCACGACGTTTCGGCCACAACGCAAGCAGCCGTCCTCAGGTGAAGAACAGGTCTGTCGGAAAGGCAGCGTCTGAATGAACACCACCAAGCTTGGCAGCGTATATTGAAGCTGGGTTAGGGGAGGAAGGGCGCCTTGACAAAGGAATTTGCATATCAACAGAGGAATTTAGCATATGTATGGAAAATGCAGAATTGTATTTTATTATGTTTTATTTTATTTATTTTATTATTTCCCTTCTACGTGACTTTACCGAAAGAACCAAGAAGATACTACTATAATCATTGCAATTTTTTTTATTTAACGTACTGCTTCAAACTCCGACAATAATTGAATGTTGTGCCGCATTAGGAAAACATACACAACACATTGACTTGTGAGGGAATTGGAACGGCTATAGATTTTTTTGTAACAATATTATGCAAATTAATCCTCGTCCTTTTGTAACGACGTAATAAAGGATACATTTAGAAGCAGGTAAGGTCAATCTAGTTTTTATTTACAGAGGAATTGAGCCATTTGTATTCAAATAACGCAGCAGCAGCGTGGAGTGCAAGCTCTGCTCTTTCCATGGCTGCATTATAGACTAATTCGGTAAAGTGGTATTGACATTTCTCAATTCAATTAACTGCCGTGTTGGGTATGCATTCGTTCGAGGCAGTGCAGGCTTTCCTGCCGGCCGGCTACTCCAGTGCTCATTGGATCACTGACGCAGAGGCATCTCCCCTGGGCAAACGACATCATCCATTGAGAAAATTGCCCCAGCGAGATATTGCAATCTGTGGTGAAAAATGACTACTTTTACAACGTAGATAAGACACCAATCTAAATTCGTAAAAAAATATAAACGGAGCTCGCAGAACTTAAAGGAATTAGCACCATTTCACCAAATTAACTTTCATCGTTCGCTTGATTAATTTTGCACAATGCAATGCTGCAGAAAAATTATTGCGTTTATTTCCATTTATTTAACGAGTGCTTTAACGCCAACCACGATGAGGTAGGTTGCATTGGTTGGGGAGTGCAGGGTTGGGGCGGGGGTAGCAGGTGGTGTGGGCACCCAGGTGGAAGGGGGGAGGCCACAACGTACCACTTGGTATTACGAGCCGTCCGGGAGGACCTGGGGGACCCACTACTCCCTGCAACCCAGGAGGTCCCCGAGGACCCAGCTCTCCCTTCATGCCCTGCTTGGAGACAAATGAGAAAGGCAGTGTGACGATGGTTACCACCTGTCCTGGTTTTTCCAGGATCATCCTCTTGTTGGGTTGGTGGGAATCTCTGAGTCTTCTCATCATGCTGTATTATCCGAATTACAAAACACACATTTTCCCTCTCTCTTAAAGCGATAACTGGGGATAATGTCTCATAATCCATAGTGTATGTGACTCGAACTTTAATGACACCATGCACAAGTTTGGGGTGCGTCTTACATTCCGGAGCATCTTCTAATCCACAGAATACGTTCCGACACCACTGCATTACATTCACATGTATAGCTCTCCCTATTTTCGGTATATTGAGATATCCCCATTATACACCGAGGTTTTTTTTGTACCTCGTAGGTGGCAACCCTTAGTGTGACACTGCTCTGAGGTGAAAGGAAACACGTGCACTGCCACATTCGATGCCGCGATTTAACCGTGCCGCGTGAGTGTGGGTCACGGCCTTGCCACGTGCAGCACTCACGGCTTTTCCACGCTTGCCCGGCTTTCCCATGGGGCCCCGGTAACCTGCAGGTCCATCGCTCCCCTTCGGACCAATGTCGCCCTGTCACACAGTGCACCCACGTAAACACTGGTGCCAAGACAACGCTTCGTAAACAACCTACGATTTTTGTTTAATTAATCGAGGGTGCCGAGAACGGGCCCTAAATGCCCAAATTGCCAAGTGGCCGGCAAGAAACAGTACTCTTCAAGGTATGACTGGTAACAGTTGGTACACTTCTTTCATTGAGCAAGGCTGGCAAGGTTCATGAAAACTTGATGACAGGAGCGCTTCCGAGTCGAGGAGCACATGAAGCAGAAAAAGAAATGTCGTGACCTGCAGTGTGGTGGTTGAACACAGCAGAGATGAGATGAACTCGTCTGCTGGGTAGATCGAGTGCTCAATATGGGTGGAGGAATTAAGATGGTGTGGTGAAAAAGCTTAACATTCTAAAGCAGTCATGTTTGTGATTTGCAAGTCTGAGGCTGGAATTTTCCATTTCTAATACACCTCGAAGGACACTTGAACATGTGTTTCATGCCATGTCTATATGTATTCTCATAATAATAAAAAATTTATAAACATTTGTCAACAGTTTCAGATTAAGCTAGTGCGGGGCCTGTAGCATATGTTATAAAGGTGCCCTAAATAAAATAAAACACGAATAAATATTAAACAACATTTTTTACTTGCATAGTAAAGTTATTGTATTGTTTGATTTTCTATACAACCAGATAATACAACAAATCGCTAATCTTAAAAACCCAGTCGTTCATAAAAGTTGAAGGCAGTATAGTACTATAGTAATAGAGCAAGTGCAGGATCACTGAACCGGAATTGATAACTTGAAAGCATTTAGCGCGGGGCCCTTGAAAGTGCGGGCCCGTAGCATATGTAGCTACTTGTGCTACTAGGATAATCCGGCACTGTTTGTCAATACACTGATGGGAGAAGGCCTCCCGATCCCTTGTCAGTCATCAGCGTAGTTTCACGATAGTTTGCCATGCTGGCGATTGCACTAAGGCTGCGAAGAGGGGGAGACCCAAGACTAGTTTAGATATAATTCACCCCTGTAAGTCGTGGCTGAGTATCAAACTCAGGTATCCTTGTCCATAGTGCAGTGCACTAACCACTCTGCCACCGCTGCTCCCCCATGTATTTTCAAAGTCCACATTAACAGCAGCCATCAATAAGGTTTCTAAAGTGGTTAAGTATTTACTACTCAGTTCAATACAAAACCCTGAACTTCAACACTATGAATATATACATGATTAATACCTAAAGACATCTATGACATGATTAGTAGCTAAAGCCATGAAATCCATTTATTCATGCACAGCATCAAAGGTTGTTTATAACATGAACCGTATATAGGTCATGTAATATAGCACGTTTTATCTGAAGTTTAACAGTTTTAATCAACGTTATATGTAATTCCATCTTAACCACTGGTAATTAAGTTATTATAAATGTATTGTTTGAGCGATATAATGGATATTCATTTTGCTTTATGCACAGAGATGATTGTACCTTTGGTCCCAACATTCCTTGACTCCCTGTTTCACCCTACAAAAAATACACGCAGTTTATATATATGGAATTAGAAGTACAATACAATTTTTCATATTACTGGCATTACTCTCCAAAGTTATTTCAAATACATAAGCACAATGTAAAACAAACCTTAGTGCATTAATTTACTTCTAAATGTCATGTTATTGTGAAGTCATTGGTGGCCAGGCTGAGACTTAAACTTATACTCTTTGGTTCTTTCGGTAAAGTCAGGTAGGTGAAAAATAAAAATATTTTTATTTTTATAAATATAAAATATTTTTCACATACGTAGGTGAAAAATGTTTTTTTTACCTACGTGACTTTACCGAAAGAAACAAAGAGTATGGATTCTTGCAGTCACGGAAACTTCTAATCTAGAACTTATACTTATAGCCAAAATTCCAACCCAGGATCGCAACGGTGTAATTTTTTTAAAGAACTATGCCCATACCTTCTCTCCGTGCAGGCCAGTTTGACCCTTCTCTCCTGCATCACCCTGGAGTAAAGTGCAAGTAAAGCAAGGGCACATACCATGATTATTGTCTAAGTTCCATTACCTTGAATTCCAAAAGGTAGATGAGGTCAAACTCACAACACCAAACCATCCAAAAACCATTAGATAATAACTGAACCAGATACCTTGTCTCCACTTAATCCAGGTTCACCCTGAAATGAAAAAAAAAAAAACACGCAGAATAATAATTTGAAAATACATCAATTAGGAACACATAATGGTTTAGAGATTTGAGGTTTCGATCTGGTGATGAAATGTAGTAGTTTAAATGGGCTGGATGGTGTATGGCTGTACATTTCCATGGCAGTAGTAAGTGGAGGCATGGGGGAGTAGGTGGAGACATGGGGGAGTAGGTGGAGGCATGGGGGAGTAGGTGGAGACATGGGGGAGTCAGTGGAGGCATGGGGGAGTAGGTGGAGACATGGGGGAGTAGGTGGAGGCATGGGGGAGTAGGTGGAGGCATGGGGGAGTAGGTGGAGACATGGGGGAGTAGGTGGAGGCATGAGGGAGTAGGTGGAGACATGGGGGAGTAGGTGGAGGCATGGGGGAGTAGGTGGAGGCATGGGGGAGTAGGTGGAGACATGGGGGAGTAGGTGGAGGCATGGGGGAGTCAGTGGAGGCATGGGGGAGTAGGTGGAGACATGGGGGAGTAGGTGGAGGCATGGGGGAGTAGGTGGAGGCATGGGGGAGTAGGTGGAGACATGGGGGAGTAGGTGGAGGCATGGGGGAGTCAGTGGAGGCATGGGGGAGTAGGTGGGGACATGGGGGAGTAGGTGGAGGCATGGGGGAGTCAGTGGAGGCATGGGGGAGTAGGTGGAGGCATGGGGGAGTCAGTGGAGGCATGGGGGAGTAGGTGGGGGCATGGGGGAGTAGGTGGAGGCATGGGGGAGTCAGTGGAGGCATGGGGGAGTAGGTGGAGACATGGGGGAGTAGGTGGAGGCATGGGGGAGTCAGTGGAGGCATGGGGGAGTAGGTCGGGGCATGGGGGAGTCAGTGGAGGCATGGGGGAGTAGGTGGGGGCATGGGGGAGTAGGTGGAGGCATGGGGGAGTAGGTGGAGGCATGGGGGAGTAGGTGGAGGCATGGGGGAGTAGGTGGAGGCATGGGGGAGTAGGTGGAGGCATGGGGGAGTAGGTGGAGGCATGGGGGAGTAGGTGGGGGCATGGGGGAGTAGGTGGAGACATGGGGGAGTAGGTGGAGGCATGGGGGAGTAGGTGGGGGCATGGGGGAGTAGGTGGAGGCATGGGGGAGTAGGTGGAGACATGGGGGAGTAGGTGGGGGCATGGGGGAGTAGGTGGAGGCATGGGGGAGTTGGTGGAGGCATGGGGGAGTAAGTGGAGGCATGGGGGAGTAGGTGGGGGCATGGGGGAGTAGGTGGAGGCATGGGGGAGTAGGTGGAGGCATGGGGGAGTAGGTGGAGACATGGGGGAGTAGGTGGAGGCATGGGGGAGTAGGTGGGGGCATGGGGGAGTAGGTGGAGGCATGGGGGAGTAGGTGGAGGCATGGGGGAGTAGGTGGAGACATGGGGGAGTAGGTGGAGGCATGGGGGAGTAGGTGGGGGCATGGGGGAGTAGGTGGAGGCATGGGGGAGTAGGTGGAGGCATGGGGGAGTAGGTGGAGACATGGGGGAGTAGGTGGAGGCATGGGGGAGTAGGTGGGGGCATGGGGGAGTCAGTGGAGGCATGGGGGAGTAGGTGGAGGCATGGGGGAGTAGGTGGAGGCATGGGGGAGTAGGTGGAGGCATGGGGGAGTAGGTGGGGGCATGGGGGAGTAGGTGGAGACATGGGGGAGTAGGTGGAGGCATGGGGGAGTAAGTGGAGGCATGGAAGTGTTGCTCAGAGGGAGGGGTTGGTTGGGGAAGAGCAAACACTGTTTAAGACATGGCAGCTGCCTCAAGTAAAAAGGATGTAAGGATTAATCAACATCGAATTGTAGCTCATGATACATGGTTCGAAGAATGTCTGTCAGCATATATATTTGTTTGATTAATTTATTTTGTATCTAAGATATTCACGTGACCCCTGGAGCCACGAGTCCCCTCGGCATTCACCGCAAAGTTAAAAAAAACATTATTGAATCAATGGCGACCCTGAATCGTAGCATTTAATGGCCGAGCTGAGGGGGTGAATCGTTTCATCATTGAGTAATTGACAGGGAAGCCTCCGGCAGATCGCACCGTGTGTTAATCGTTGTTTGTTTAACCCACTCATACATCATGTTCACTCTCGCGATATCATTTTTGGAGCTGCTGTGAAATCATATGAAACATTTTCAACAAATCTGGGGGGGTGGGGGGTTCTTTTTACTCCTAAAATCACTTGAAATAAACATTAATTTGGGGTTTTCTTTGAATAATTAATGCACGAGAGGGTTAAGTTCTTGCACGTACATCTAGTTTTTTCAAATCTTACGTATTAAATCGTGTTTGTTTTTCTTCTTCTTGGTTCTTTCGGTAAAGTCACGTAGAAGGGAAAAAATAAAATAATAAACATTTACATAATTTAATAATTCTCTGAAATTCAGATGCTGTCTTTCCGACAGACCTGTTCTTCACCTGAGGACGGCTGCTTGCGTTGTGGCCGAAACGTAGTGATAATTATTTTATTATGTTTTATTTTTATTATTTCCCTTCTACGTGACTTTACCGAAAGAACCAAGAAGATGAATCCCTGCAGTCACGAAAGCTTTAAATCGTGTTTGTTTGTTGGGGTGGAGCAGACAGAGTGGAGCTGCCACACACGTCGTGTCTTTCATATCGAGCCGACGATGCTCACCTTAAGACCGGGAGGCCCTCGGGGACCTGGCATCCCCAGGACGCCCGGTTCTCCGCTGTCTCCCTGCGAGCAGAACACAACGATCACACTCACTCACGCACCGCGGCGGCGGGAAGTCACACTCATTACTGCCCCTGTCCTTCCCACAGCCACCCTCTGTGGAATTAATGTACTTACAGCTGCAGCTGGTTTCAGGGGCTGCAAAGTTATTTTTACGCCCTGTTGTAGTGATTCTTTACACGAGCTAATATCTTTCGGTGTGTTTCTGTTAATATTTTAAAGCAAGCAATCGATAGATGTGCTGTTGTGATGTCGGGTTGCTCTCCGTATAAATCTTTTTAACCACATTAACACGACGTGAAATGTGCAATTTCCCTGACACCTATGTGTTGTCAAACAACATGTTGTAAAAAAGTTACTCATCATAGTAAATCTATATAATATAATAAAAGAAAAAGAATCATTTCGATTTAAAGCTTTCGTGACTGCAGGGATTCATCTTCTTGGTTCTTTCGGTAAAGTCACGTAGAAGGGAAATAATAAAATAATAAAAATAAAACAATCAAATAATTCTCACGACGTTTCGGCCACAACGTAAGCAGCTGTCCTCAGGTGAAGAACAGGTCTGTCTCACCTGAGGATGGCTGCTTGCGTTGTGGCCAAAACGTCGTGAGAATTATTTTATTATGTTTTATCTTTATTATTTCCCTTCTACGTGACTTTACCGAAAGAACCAAGAAGAAAATGAATAATCCCACATCTTCACCTTTACTTCAGGCACAACCCTAGCCAGTGCAATGTGTCACCTTGGGCCCTATTGCTCCTGGCAGACCCATGGGCCCCGAGCCGCCCTGCTCACCCTTCGGCCCAGGTGTTCCACGGCGGCCCTGGCACGAACACGCACACACGCGCCCATCAGTCGTGCTCCCAGCAGCATCGCCGCAGTGATCCTGCCCTGGGTGTTCCCGATCCTGCCTGCGATCAAACTGTCCGGAGCGTGCGCGATCCTGTCGTATTTTTAAAGCTAAAAAGAATGGAGCCTTGAGAGTGCTTGGATAGGTGACCCACGTGTAGGGCGATATTATCCAATAGGCGCAGTATGCACTGTGGAGGAGTCGGTGGAGGAATTGGAGGACTGTGCCTAGGCACTGTGCTGAGTACCTACGAAAACTAAAGTGCCGACTAAAAAAATTACTGACAGTGTTATTTTTGTTTCTACTATAAAAAATGTAACCAAGGTATCTTCGTAAATAAATCTATTTATATAGCAAATGATAGGCACAATGTAGGAACAAAGAGACAGAGTCATGTCAATGTCAATCGGTTTTTTTTCTCCATAAGGGGAGAGAAATTAACACTGGAGATGAACTTTTTGAGATTTCTACGGCACACAGCGGCCTCCAACCAAATTAGGGCACAGACTAAATAATGAACTTATCAGTAACGACATCTGTCCAGCAGCTGGACGAAGTGCGCGTGAAACAAGCGAGTGACAGCGGCGGTAGTAACATGGGCAGCAGCACCAACTGGAGAAAGTTATCACTGAAGGCCTATGAAACAAAAGTGCATAGGGCCTACAAAAACCTTAGTCCGGCGCTGCTCCTTAATCTGGCTCTGCTCACGTGCACAAAAAAATGCTATAGGCTGCTGCGGGCTACGTGGTGAGCAGCAGACAGCGGTGCAGTAACACCCACAGTTGTACTGTACTGTACTTATGGATCTATGTTCCCTGCCTTCACCAACCCATATTGACCAGTGAGTATGTTCAAATAACCACCACGACCCACACGCGGGGAGGCCATCATGCAGTGGCCGATTGAGAAAAGGTCTGTGTGTGTAACTGCATATGTGTATTTGTACATTGAATAATATGTACGTGTGTTTATTATGTGTTTGTACACATATGTGCACAATGAAGGAATTCACCTGTTTTCCACGCTTTCCGATCATCCCCTTTAATTAAAGCATAATACCATCATTAGACAATGCACAGGTCAATTTGTAAAAGTACATTACATGTATCCTACGAAATCATCGTATTATTCTTAATCATACAAAAACCTAGACCTCTGTTAAAACGCTTGCATTCACACAGTAGTGACTTACATTTCACATACTTATCTTACACCTCCCCATACCTCACATTCAAAAGCTTACTTAAACTAGTATGCTGTATTCCCATTGCACTCACCTGATCTCCTTTAGGTCCCATTAATCCAGGCAATGCTGGCGGACCCTAAGATAAAACAAAATGAAAAACATTTTACACAGCCCACGACAGCATTCATCGTGGGACGCAACATTTTCTAGAGTTATAAATCCAGCAACCTGAGTTTGATTCCTGGCCATGGTTGACATAGACGATAGGTGATATCTGAACTAATGAATCATGGATCCCCTCCTTCACCAAACGACACTAGCCAGCATGGTGAAGTATGGTCAAAGAACCCTCACGACAGGCCGATGTAAGGGAGGCCTTGATCTAGCACTTGACTGATAAAGGGTTGTACGTGATTTTAAAGTATTATTATTTCAGCAATTGTTATTTTGTTATCATTATATCAGGTTTCATACCTGAGGGCCTGGGGGTCCTGGAGGCCCTGGTGGACCAGGCTGTCCTGCGGTACATGTGGACGGCCTCTGAACCTTCTCACCGGGTTCCGGTAGCTTTTTCTCCTGATCGCCGTGTACAATCTGAGGAATCAATCACACTTTTTTAACGGCAGACTAGGTTCAAACAATCTCAGTAATAAATTCCCCCTGTCCGTTCGCTCCAACTCTCCAGGAACAAATCAACCAAACGAATGAGCGTGAAGTCCTGCAGTGTGCTCTGTCAGTGGAGCAATGCTGGAAGCACTCTGAACTAAAATTGCGGAGGATGGAATCGGTGCAGTGGCGTATATTGTGGTTGGCAGGGGCCTTGGTGCAAGACATGAAATGGGGCCCCCTGTCCAATTCATTTCCCTCTTACTAGCCCGGCACCTGGGTTTCTCCAGCCAATGGGCTCCAGTCCAGTTGCACCGCCTGTGCACTTGATGCCATCCCCACTGACATCATGTCAAGGCACATTATGTTGAATCAGAATACTATATAAGGCTGTGTGGGTTTATAAAAATAAGATTTATGCCAACACTTTTAAACAAGGTTTTCTGAAAGGCGTGTTCGAATGCTTTTCAGTGAACATGAGGTCAGCTACACGCACACCCACTTTTGTGACGGACAGTTTTGTGAATGTTGTTTCGGGAAAAAAAAAAGTTAAACTGACACTGCACACGAGCTGTGAACCCTGGCAATAGCAGGGTCTCTAATCCAATGCCACTCAAAACCCAATTACAGAAACCTGTCCATGGAAACGGGGTAATACTGTTAATACTTATACACCCAATTCATCTGATGGAATGTTATCTCTTGCTGTGTATGTTGCCATTAAAATACATCAACAGTATTAGTAACATCATCTGTCCAAATGTGAGTCAGTCTGTTATTCACAGCACTTAAGCGGGTAATTTCCAAGTACAAATATCTCATACTGACTGAAACAAACCAGGGTCCTATGGTATTGTAGATAAGCTATATAAGACCTAGGTTAAGAAGACCACAATAAAACGTTTTGTTTTAGAAATTTATGAACTCTATTTCAATTCTTTACATTGTTTGATTAAAGAGTTGTGAATAGTTTTGTAAAATGAAGAAACATTCGCTTTACATATGGGGCACAGATATCATCTGAAGAAAGGAGACTTAAACCTTGGATTAAATTCTAAAGCCACCTTCTCAACACTGCGACGCTGCAGGAAGCTGGGCGACATTGGGGGCGGCGGTGGTGGGGGCAGGAGGTGACAGCATGGCGATGCGACAGGCGTCCTGTGTTCATCTGCAAGGCGCGGAGTCAAATGTAATCACAAACGACTGCATCCACGTTCATTCAATTACTGGGGGGGGGGGGGGGGGGCGGTTCTTGTCGTATTTATTAGAATGCAGTGTACGATGCCTCTGAGCTTTTGAGTCAAACGAGAGTACCACGCCTCAATGTAGATGTTTACACATTTATGAAGAACGCATGCAAAAACGAATTGTTAACTCGCGAATATTGTCCGTGGACAGATTATCCGGGATGCGGATGAATGTGTTCGGGGAAAAAAAGTTAAAAACGGAATTCCACGATCATTCGCACCTTAAGCTCGTCAACCGTGCCTCAATGACCCAATACCTTAATACATTTTATTAATTATTTTAAATACAAAAATAGACAACACGTTCTATATCTCCATCCCATGCTACGTAGGTAAAGCAATACTTCTGTTTTTATAGCCTAACTTATATAAGTTTTGTATGAGTATCTGTCTTCTGGTTTTATCTAGGCCACCCCTCCCCTCTATTACCCCAGATAATCGAGAGTTGACTACATGACCCAGCAAGGAATGACACAGCAAAGCAGATTTTCAACGAGGATGTATATCAGACATTCCATATTGCCTTATAGACTGTTGGAGAGAGTGCTGTTCGCGAGCACCTATTAAGGCTGACACAGCACAAACGCCCTGCCAACTTTGTATCCCTGGCAATGATGTTCACACATTGCATCAGGTACCCGTTTCAAGCTGAGTCAACCTAAAGGAAGCTCTGCACAGGTTTTTTTAAATGATAAATGCCATTGATGTCAACCGTAGCTGGGAATCGGGGTCATCGCGCAGTATACAGAACTGTGCAATCCACAGTGCCACCAGTGCCTATGCATAACACAGTAGAGCATCCCCTTGTGACTGTCTCAAATTATCAATCACAATCTTGAGGCTTCTCACCCTCTGCTCTAAGAATAACCCCCCCCCCCCAGAATGTTGATAGTTTACATTTATGATCATAGTGCTGAGGCATCTGCCATATTTTATGATCGATCTGAAGTGCAGCATTGGCGCAGTGGTTAACACACCCCACTGCGAACCCGGCGACCAAGATCGATTCGCCGGTGGTGAGAGATGTCTCAAACGTTCCCGCAGAAAAGACGTCGCCACAGCGAAGACACCCCGAATGCGAGCAAGAAGGTGACGCGGACAAAATGGACAACATTGTGAAACAAAGCGGTCTCAAGACGAGGTAAAAGTTGGGGATCCGTGGCCTCCAGCCTCTCCTGAAGAGACAGCACAATCGGCCTACTGATCATTCGGTGAACCGTGGTCACCTCGCTGCAGGCGTGACGCGTGCTGCGCGGATCGTGCGAAGGCGGCGAGGAGGCAGAGGGTGAGAAGAGGCGGTGAGGAGGGGCGCAGAGGCCGCCACATCTCGAAGCTCTTCCCGGGGGAGGGAGAGGAACTCCTCCTGTGGGTCGGAGACCCCTTGGCTCTCGTCCCGTAATCCAGGCACCTGGTGGCAGATTCACGTGGGCATCAATGCAGGCGCATTACCTCGCTGTGGAACTTGGGGGTGTCCTCTTAGTGAAAGGGTCCCGGTAGGTATTGGTTACATTACAGGTAGGATTCATAAACATTTCCCCTCTGCCGCTTCATTACGGAAATTAGGAGTTCTACTGCACTAGAATTATAAATCTGTGCCACTACTAGCCGACTATTAGTGCACTACTGTGTATTTAGAGCCTCCGTCATCAGCATAATCAGTATTGACGTCACCTTGCTGATGAGAAAAAACATTGCAAACTCAAAATTACATTATTTTTGTCCAAAGTGTTGCGGGTGTCTCTTAGCTATATCTAAAAAAAAAATGTAGGTGGGGTATCTGAACACCCACAATGCACACAACAATGGCTGTGCCCCTGCATCAATACAACACCGTTGACCAATTCACCCAGAATGTGCCTGATCTCATCACAGCTCGCTGGCCAAGCAGGCACGAGCAGGAATAGCGATTGGGATGGGCGAGCACCATGTACGTACAGCAGCTTGCCTTTGGTGGATGTGGGACTACGTTGTGGGTCGTGCAGCGAAATACATCTTTGTACTGCACTTGTGTTTCCACATCGCTGCTCCACTCATTCACCAACCCAAAGTGAACGGTGCGTGGTGAATAAAGGTCATATAGCCCCCACGACCCACACAGCCGTAGGGAGATCCTCATCTCGCAGCGGATTGGAGAAAAGGGGATGCACATGTACATCAGTGCACCATGCGTGTGTTTAACGTGGAAGACATAAATAGTCTCCAATAATAATGACACACTACTGCAATGCCCTTTATTTAATAAATGCCACGCGAGACGCAGAGACCACCCCTGCCCCCCTCCCCATGTTCCGGACGCTATTTACAGCACAGGGGCACCTACCTCACTGTAACTCCACGTGCACTGGGCAACTCTCCCCGCGTGTTTACACTACACATCTACATCACGTTAACTTGCACAGACATTGTGGCCACCCACTGCTGGATGAGGCTCTCCCCACAACGGCGCAGTTGGTGGGAGTTGTTTGACCGTACTTCACGATGCACACTGGTCGGTGGCAGTCCGGTGAAGGCGGACGAGCATAGACGTGGGAGCAGTACAGTACAACAATGTTTTTTCCCCCCTCTGCACCGCCCTTTGCAGCATACCACGTAGCCCCAAAGCCTATGCCACCTGGTATGGCATGGTGGTCACACAACCTTGACACTATCCTGGCTCAAATCTGCTTAGCTTCCAAGATCTGACCAGATCTTGCACAATCCGGGTGATTGGTCACTGGCGAACTACATCATCAACACCGTGGAAAGGCATTGTCTCACAACTAACGTTCTGTTGCCTTTAGGGTCACCATCTCCACTCGAGGCCAACTCCTTGCTTCACTGGCGATGTGGATCGTTTATTTTGTTCAGTGTTTCGCACGCGACTTGGGAGCAACGTAGAACTTCCTGTGAGTGAAACCAATCAACCTAATCCCGGACTTACCCTTTGGAGGACTTATAGTTCAAAAACTTCGGTTTTCTGAATTATTTCTCCCCCCCCCCCCCTCTGATTGTGATGACCAGAGGCTCAGCAACAATTGTGCTGAAATTCCGCAAATTCTACCCCTTCTTACGACATCATCAAAATATGAATAAGCGATTGATACATATATAGATTTTACATGGCAAGTTGGTTCACTCGTACGTGTGATCAGTGCCCGGTTGTTTAACAGCGTAAGTGGAATCTTCCACTTAATTTGTCATTACAATTTACATCAGTGCAAGTGAACTAATAAATACCGAGGTATAATGAATGCATCCTTTCAACGATATCCAGCTCTGAAGAAGGGTGGGTATATGCTGCCCGAGTAGGAATTAAGGTACCCATATCGCGCATGCATACATCGGTCGCGTGCACGTACAAGTCGCAGTTCTCAATCCACAGCTGGATGAAGGCTTCCCCACGCCGTGCGGGTCATGGGGGTGCTTAATTTGACCATACTTCCCCACGCCGGTCTCTCCGGTGCGGGTCGGTGAAGGCGGGGGGGGGGGCACAGACGTTCACCCCTTGACACCACAGCACGTATGCTGCTACTCAGCCCTTACCTTGTCGGTAGAAGACGTCCGTCCACGGTTGTCCTGGAAGAAAATCAAGATCTGAGCGCAGCTCCCGGCAGCCAATGGTAACTTCGCCCAGCCGCAGAGGAGGTTCAGCCTGAGTTCCACACCAGCCTATCTGGAGTGAATGGAGGAGACGTGTACGTATAAAGGATAAAGCGACCTCCGACCTATATAACTCAGCATGAACATACAATTTGCTTCTCGAGTCTCATCAGCCAATGGACGCGTTACATACAGACTTAAATCAAAGCATCGGCATCAGTATTCAGCAAACAAACTCTGGAGCGGCATTTGACATGCTGGGTCTCATCAGCAGAGCCAGGCTTGATTTAAAAAAAAACGAACACTGCTGTTTTATTTCAACATGTTATAGGTGGGGTGACTCCCCTCTAATCAAGGATCAATTGCAAATATAACCCTTCCCCCACACCAACCTTTGCATCTCCAAGCTGTGAATCAAGAGATAATCGTACCGAGCATAGCAGCCCCACAAGTGATTATTTATCCGCCGGGATGCAGTGAAGCATCTCAGTGTAGCAAGGAGGAGGAGGAAGGAAGGAGGTCACACGCACGGACGCCACCAACCCCTCTCTGCTGCTGCTGCTCTCATTCCGTGACCACTTGGCCAGTCTCAGTTGGAAGATGCGAGCGAGGACGAGGGGCGGGTAAGGGGGGCTTAGTGGGGGTGGGTGGTGGTGGGGGGTGGTGGGGGGTGGTGGAGGAAGGGGGGGGGGATGGTGGAGGAAGGGGGGGGGCCGTGTCGGTCCGGCACCCCCTGCTGGTAGCGCGCAGCCAACCATGACCAACTTTGGGGCCCTTTTGGTTATCTCATCGGAAAGTAATCGCTGGGTTGTAAGCCATAGAGCTAAACAAAACAATATAATGCGCATTTATATGTCGTCCAAATGTTACCGCATCTCAAGACATTGCACAGAAACTGTGGGGATGTCTTTATTGTCTTATTGTATTGACAGAAAGAGTGAGGCAGTCATCGAGGCAAGTTATTGAGTCTGGACATGAACAAGGGCAGTGGAGTCGACAGCATGGATGTCTGGGCGAAGGAGGTTTTAGATAACGGGGACAGCTAATGAGAGACCTACTGACGCACACATAGGGCGCCACGGTGGCGAGATGTTAACTACCTCGCCTGGTATGCAAGGAGGTCGTGGGCTCGATCCTGACCCTGACGCCTGCTCTATATTTGGAGTTTGCGGTGTCTCTTTCCCCGTCGTCGCGTGGGGTTTTCTCCGGATCATCCGCTTTTTTCCCTACCCATTTAGAAAAGTGCATTTAGAATAGGTGGCTGATATAAATGTCCACATGATGAGCCACTTTGTTGAGTTGTCATTTGTGGTCAGATCGCTTCTAAAAAATAGCAATATAGCTCAGTGGGCCTTACCTGGTAAAATAAAAAAGTTTCTTAGTTTATAGTTTTTACATATACAGTACGCATATGTATGGGACCATTTTTGCCGGTATCAAAATTATATTGCCTTGCAATAGGTGTTAATTTGTTGTTGTAACATCTGAACACCTGTATGATTGCCTGAAGGATAAGATTGCCTTTTCTTTTTTCATTATACTCGTAATAATACTACTACCAATCTACGAATTTTCTCAGGTAAAATGTTCGGGGTCTCAAGGGAACGAGTGGTTCATCGCCCCCCATGCCAACCACCCACCTCTGATCCATCACTGCAATGGACTCCAATGGAGACCCCATAGTTTCACATCTTCTCGTCTCCGTCCATAAAAGTCAAATGTCCTTCCCTTTGCGAGCACATCTCACCGCTCGCAGGTCGCCTGCTGCTCGGGCCCTCCTCGAGCAGAGCAAAAGGTCCCCTTCTCGCCACAGCAGTCGCAGTTCTCTCTGTGGTTTTGTGGAGCCAAGTGGGATTTTCACCTGCCCACTTGGGTGCGAAGCCGATTCAGAGTTGTCCACGTGGTCCACCGCTCCATTGCTCCCGTGAGGAGCTGATCGCCCGCCGTGATGCCCATGCCGATCTCAGCGCCAACGTTGCCCGTGTCTGCCCCGCGACACCTCTTCCTTGGTGCGTCGTAACGTGCCCGTGTTGTAAGGAAGCTCATCCGTGACTTCGGGCGTTTGACTGCAGCGGTGTGGTAGTGTCGACGGCCATCTGGTGTCCTCAGTTTGCCCGCGCCCTCTCCGCACGACTCGCCGCAGCTCCACTCGTGTCTGGTGGCATTCTCGACGTCTGTGGGTTTGGGGCAGCCTGTGATGGTGCGGCAGATGAACCTCAAATAATAAACGGAGGTCAAAATCGTAATTAATTCATTTACTTTTTGGCGACTCCGTCCCACCGCGCACATAAACGCCGCGCACCACCATAAATCAATCCTCTCGTTCTTCGCCAAGCACCCGTAGTTGCCAAAATTGCCGTAGTCATAAACAAAACGTTTAAACTTTGATTGGCGCATCGTGTAGAGCTCGTCGAGAGGAATACATTGCCGCATGGTTCGCCTTCAACAGACATAAAATGACGTCGCAACGCAGTTTATGCGAGAGCCGGGGGCTCATGAGACCCCGGGGGTCCCGCCATAAGGTTTCAGGTGTCATTGAGTGTTGCACCTGTCTGCTTAGCAAGCGATTTAAAAAAAAATCCAGCAGAGGGCGGTAGAGCTAAAGACAACGGAGTCACAAAGCGTTCGTACAAGTGACTTCGCAGCACAGCAGCCGCATGAGCTGTTGAAACAAACGTCTGTGCCGCCAGGGACAGGGAACAAAGGCGACGTTAGCAGATGCTTGATTGACAATGGCCCGTGGGATAGTCTGCCGAGGGTCCATCACAGACCTATGAGGTCACCTGACTGACAAGCTGCGCTTGCACCTTTGCCATTGCCCGTCAAAGCCACATCCCACTAATTGCACGCGAGCCATTTGGCTAAACGTACTGATGGCGTTTAAACGGTCCGGCAGATGACGAATGTTAGTGCTTTTTTGGCCACGGCGCTCATCTTACAAGTAGTTCATGGCCCTGTGATGTTCACTTGATACCGATGATTAATTGCTCACTGAATATTGTTGGGATCATATGGTAGAGTGGAGGTGGGTCCATGACCAGTAGCCACAACCATCGCGACGGGTATACTGGGTGTGGTCCACTGGGAGTAGAAATATTTTCCAGAACGTAGACCGGTAGAGACATGGCTGGAATGAAGCACTGCTTGGCATAAACTGCGAAACAGATCCGAGGTAAAGTTTGGCATGTGGACATTCATATTAACGATGAGGCCATTTATTTATCCAGTAAAGCCTCACTGAGTTTCAGTTTGGCAAATTATATATTTTTTTTTATTTAAAGTTGTGTTTGTGTAGGCGAGAAAACTGTAGAAAACCCACCACACACAGTGGGATAAGAACACTTATAAAGTCTACACAGACGAGTTTATGAACCTCGATTGCTGTGCTACCATCTCCTGGCCACTTCGCAGCCCGGCAGGTGTGGGAGGTTCACAAACCTATATCTGATCCAACCAACCTTGCCTCTAAAGTGCTAAATCACAGGCGTGCACCACCAAACCCAGATAACGAAATAACAAACCCTTATACAGTAGACTCTCGATTATCCGCGCTAATGATGAGGACAGCCGCCGGTAATTAAAAATCGCGCATCTGCTGCCTACGACTTTAGGTATTGCGGCCTTTAAAATCTAATTTGCATGGTGGTTACCCATCCATGCACTATCTAGGCTCACACGTTCTTCGCTTCCGAGATGAGAAACTATGTTTTCTGGTGATTTGTTCAACGGCCATGTTGCAATTATATATATATGGATGTAGACAATAAAATCAATGGAAGCAGCTATTGTGCTCATGACAAACATTATTAAAGAGCTCAACATTCATTGACATTTTCCAGAGACAAGCGCATCACAAAATGGACAATAAAAACCATGGAACATCATTTTTTACAACCATCAAATATGCAAGAGCTCTGAAATCACTCGGGATCGCAAACACACATAAGTGATGTGGCAGTCACGTTTGGTCCCAGCTTGCCTTTGTGGGGTATTTTTTATGGGTTATTTTTGGGCTAGGAGCAACATGGCTTATCACCTGTACAATAATTCAAACCTTTTAAATAAGCGGAACGGGATGAAATCAGATTACGGCCGCTTGAAATATGATGTAGCAAATGCTCTTTGTCAAGCAACATCCATGCAGGGTAAGTCGCATTTGTATGGTAATGCGGCAGGTGCAGGGAGAAGGTTGCAGGTTCTTGGGATCTTCCTGGAGAGATGGGACAGATTAATTGGTGCCTCCTGCGCTCTCAAAACGGAGGTAACCATCGCCTGCATCATCACGGTCAATGGTCTCAACTCGACAGGAAAATTGGCTTCACGCCGTCGGACTGGTCACACAAATTGGCGCTGTCCCTCGCGTTTGCTCCCACCTCCTGTGGGTCACGTAATGGCCTCGGCATGGCACTAATGGAATGTGTAATTGTGGCTGTGAGGTCACCCGCCCAGCGCAGCAAAAGGTGGGAAGGTTTTTGAAGTGTAGCGGTCGCAGCAGGAAAACAGCTGAATATACCCAGATTCTTTTCATAGCACAGAAGCCAAGCGGAATTAGAGCCTGGTTAATGCTTGTATGGCAAACTGCCAAGGAATGTCATGTATTGTAGGCTTGGGCTGTGAGATAGCTAGGAGATGGCAGTACAGCAATGGATTATTGAACCTAACTCTGCTGAATTCTGAGTGTCACGCCCCTTGTATGCGTTTTTATCCAGGTACAGTACTTCTATTCCCTCCAACATTAATCAAAACAATCATTGATGGACATTGTCAAGTATCCCAATGTAGCAGGATCCTCCTGAAAAATAGTCTTGAGACTCAGGCATTCCTGGGAAAATTAAAGGCATAATTGTTATTATTATTATTATGAAGGGGTGGGGGGGGGGGGGGTATTGCACTGCACTATTTACCCGTTGACCTAGTTTCAATTCCCAGCCATGGTTAATGTCAGTGGTCTGTAATATCTCAACCAATCCAACCCCCTCACCCCAACCCCACTTCACCAACCTGCGCCGACCAGTATTGTAAATTATGGTCAAACAACCCCCCTTGACTGCCATAGCTCAAAAAAAAAGTAACCACTATATTATTATAATTAGCAGCAGTATGGGTGGAATTGATGAGGGGCTGATTGTGTCCGTGCATTCTGATCAAGGGTGGTGGAATGCGCCATTAAATACGTAAGCAAGCGCTGCTTGTGCTACAAGTCTCGTACGCATGACCACTTCATGTTTATTGACGTTATTTGTATGCCCACTCCTGCTGAAGCCCCGTGACGGCTGCTGTCACGTTCTTATGAGCGAGGGTCGTGTTGAGAAAGAAAATCACATCGCCTCTTCATCTATTGGTATTCTCCATGACCGTCCATGAGTGATGCAATGAGTGACAGAGAAAATGATGAATTCATGGAAATGTGGGTTTGCCATAATGCTACTGCGTAGGTTTTCACAATGGTGCTGTCTAGCTTACCAATGCATTTTCAGATTGTACCGCGGTACAAACCAAAGACACATTGGAGAGTTGCCTTGTCCTTAACCATATTGTCTCTCTAAACTCCAATATGGGGTTTCTCAAACTGTGGGTT